TTGGCACTTTTCCAGGATGAACAGACGTGTGTAGCTTGAACTAACCGTTATGCAATGTGATGCCTGCCGGGGCACTTGGCCAATGAGCTATTGCGAGAACCTTTCAACAAATTCATGTCAGGGGCCACACTATCCCCCTTATTATATCGCATGAAGGATGACAAATCTAGACAGTGACCAGCAGGTGACGGGTTTACCCAGCAGGTCATTTTCATCTGACACTTTCATCGAGGACCACATGCGTTTTAGCTGATCACTACACTATTATTTGAAGATGGAATACGAGTAAGTTAATTCAACTTTAGATTTTGTTATTATAAACATATTTTATTGCGGAAAATCAAATGGATTAGGCACAAGTGACACACTTACGAGGCCTTCTCAAACATACATTCCATTATATTGTAATATTTGAATAATAATAGTGCATAATAAAAGCACAGTGCATAGGAATTATATACGAGTAATAAGAAAATACAACAACACACACATACACACATACACACACACACACACACACACACACACACACACACACACACACACACACACACAGAGAGAGACAGACAGACAGATAGATTTGTATACAGTTGTATAAGATATTTAATATAATTCCACCATAGTTAAACTAATAGACATTTAAATATAAGTGAATTCAAATGGAGAGCGGGATATATAAATTATAACTAAGCTGTGATAATAACGTTGAATGATTGTTTTACATCAAAATCAAAGTTATAACGAATATCAAAACAAATAGATAAAAATACAATAAAATATAACAAAGAATTTTTGTAGATTTCTAACTTCAATGATGAAATGTAACGAATTAAACTGTTTATCTGATCATAGTAAACACCATTTTCTAATGCAGCTGGCAATGATAAACATCAATTTGATGAATATACACCGTATAATCGTTCCTGCATCGCTGATCATACGGATGAAAAACATTCAAATCAAATATGAAAAATATTTTTTGCAGGTTCCAATATACCAAGGAGTTTAAGAACAACAAAAGTGTCGCGCTTGCTAAAGCCAGCTTTTGTAATGTTACAGGATACAGCTTCAAGAAAACAAACAACTAAGAAGCACTTCAACAAAAACTGTGAGTAGAGAAGTATTTATTATGTGAGTATCAGTTAGTTTCGCGATTACAACACAGTTGGTCTCTGAATAATATGTAAAGAAGGCATTTAGCGTTTTTTCATGTTCTAGGCACATGTTCGTCTCATGTTCACACGTATAATGAACATACGATCTTATAACTTTAGTTTTAAATAATTCCTTTCTCATTGCCCATACAGATATCCCGACGGCGACAGATAAACCGCGGATTCTGCTGAATGGCAGGAATCAAAGTCTGAAGCCAAAAGATGATTCCCTGTATATCGTTGTATCATCGCAGACATGGGATTGTAAATACGGAAAAGGGCGCAAAGAACAGAACAAGGTAATAACCATATCTCTGTAAATCAAAGGTGTGCATAAAATGGTGCAACGGATGGGAGTAATAGCTTACCTGCGCGACTTAACATACTTTCAACTAATACAAACTACATAAAATGAATAAATGTAGTTTCGTTGTCGTAATATCATACTCAACCAGCCTGATAGAACAAAGACTACTGATACAAAGGTATGGGAATGTATACACTAAAGAAAGCAGAGTCGATGCCGATGTATACAAGCCCATGTATTACTGGTGTAAAGTTATTATAGAGAAGATTTTGTGAAGGAATAAAATATATCTGAGAGTTAAAATTTCAATAAAGTCGCTTTTTTTAAATTTTATAAAACAGCTTTTCCATTAGGAGATGGGTGTAAAATTACTATGGGTTACAACGTATTATTACAATATCATTACCAATACACATTTGCCTCTTAGATAAATCTGTAATACAGAATATAAAAAGTAACATATGTAACAATATCTAAAATATTCTACACTAGAGTAAATTCTGAAATGAATGTTAACAAACAGTACAGGTGGACCTGATTCAGCTGAAGCCTAGATGTTTAAAAGGGCTAGCATTGTGGTGTATTTCACTAAAGAAAGAAAACAATCTTCTTTGTCGGTAGTTACCGGGGGTCAAAACAATGGAGTCAGGTGAGGTGTTTGATTGTCGGACAGACGTAGGTGATTATCTAATAAATACTTTATCGTGGCCTAAAACACATATTCTATAGACATCATAGTTTTGCTGTCATATTTTGTAACATTGTGTAGCATAAAAGCATTGACATCGTTGGAAGTTCGGTACAATCAACTTGTTGATAGTATGGTACAAATCATTTTATTTTTTTTGTCCATTTATAAATATGAATTGATCATTTGTGTTAAGTAAGCAAAAGCATACAGAAATTTGTGAAGGGACTTATATGACAAGGTATAAGGGACCTTTTGGTCTACGGGATATGTTCAAATATAGAAATGTTTGTGCAAATAATCATGACGGTCATGAGATAGGGAGAATAGGTACTACTTGTTGAACTTTGTGTCACATTTTGAATGGCAAAAATATTATTTTACACAAAATACCGGGAATACTATTTATTTTACCAGTATTGTTGAATATTTTCCCCTCAAGTTACTTTAACGTCATACTCAACAAAGACGTTTTTGTTTGATCAGTAAGATCCGTTAGTTTCACTTTCGGTATCTTTGAAAAGGGACGCTTTCTGTAGGTTTTTAGCGTTGATTGAGGATACAGAAATTTGGGTGGTAACTTTGAAAAGATTGGAATCTATCGTTGTAATAAGACATACGTTCTTAGCTTCTGTGTACAATTAGTCACACAGCAACAACACATAACACAACACTTTATTTAATATATAGGAACCCTTACCTGCAGCCTCTTGACTTGTAGTCCGTCAAGCTACCACATGTGCTACGGAGATCAAATGTCAATTTTTATCTTAGCTTATCTCTTTATCTCACCATTATCTTGGCTTGATTTATTTGAACATTATTTTGGTAATATTGGACCAAGTCCGTTGTAAATTCTAATGGTATATATGTTATACAAGTGCCTGTGAATCTGATTTGCACATCTAATTTCAAGGCATATTATCCATATTCGACTTATTGCCAAATGATATGTACTTTATTTAAACAAATTTAGATTATTAGGATAAAACACAATGGTATGCTTGCTTGGTTGGTTGGTTTGTTGTTTAACGCCACACTCAGCAATATTTCAGCTATATGACGGCGGTCTGTAAATAATCGAGTCTGAACCAGACAATGCAGTGATTAATATCATGAGCATCGATCCACGCAATTGGGATCGATGACATGCGTCAACCAAGTCAGCGAGCCTGACCACCCGATCCCGTTAGTCGCCTTTTACGACAAGCAATGATATGCACTTTGACGTAAACAAGTTTACATTTTAAACATGCTTAAATAAGAAACATGTTTACATTTTTGGGATGTTGTGTTCAAGTGGTGTTTATTTTGTGAGACGATAGCGCATTCTGTGTGTTTAGACCCCAGACCAAATGTTATTCCGTTTAAGATTTAAACACGTTCCTAAGCATATTTAGATCAAAACATGGCTTGTATGTGTTTACGGTCTAAACACAGATTTGTAGTGTATAACGGATGGCTATGTTTCTGTTACAACATATTATTCCAGGAAGAACCACCAGCTGAACACCAGTATGCCAGGAAAAGAACCAGGGAGCGACTGTCCAAGACACCAAAACTGGACTGTGGCGCAAAACTGCATGTCAGAGAGACGCTGTGCTTTCCATATGAAAAGGTGATACTGCAATCCACATGTTGTATTGTAAAGAATAACAAAGTCGGTTCATGAATGTTTCAGGTGCATATATTTTTCCACTAGGTCCTGAAAAATGATTTGTATCCGAACCTAGAAACGATTGGATAGCATTCGATTTAGGTATCTCGTCACACAAACGTATGACAGTTATAGTCATATGTTATCAATTAGAGAATGATAAAATCATGAGCGACTATGATATGACAGAATCGTCAAAATGTTATATATATTTGGAGAAAATTACAACAGGGGATTCGGATGAAATAAAAGCAGTTGGTTACGGCGGTGTTGTTTGTACTGTAAAGGTAACACTTTCCAGCTGATACAGTAAACAACAAAATGCTTATTATAACATTGAATAAAAGCTAGAAAATCATCTCAATACCTTTTAGAAAAATCTACTTACATCAGAGTCAATTGTACGATTCGAACTATATCATAAGCATATGTCTAAGAATCATTATCAAAGAGACTAAATCATGATATGAAGTGTTCGCGAAAAGGTGAGCGCAACGCCCTACCTGTGGCATCCGTCACAGACATAATTATGCAAAGGCAAGTCATTTGTTTACATGGAAAATCACGGGAACAAAAGGCACAAGTCAAAATAGTGAATCGTATTAGAATACCACTTCTAACATATATATCATCATTTTTTTAATGTCTTTATTATATACAGGCCGAAAAAGGTGACAGAAGGAAAAGACGGAAATACGCAGCTGGTATAAATAAAGCATTGGTTGAGGGAAGGCTGACCGAGTATCAGTTTGAACGACGCTTTATTGTTTCATTTCCGAGACCTGAAGACCATTTAGAACACCCCACTGCCAAGGTATAGTAAAATGTCATTTTATGTTGTGTTATCCACCCATAATTAGAAACCCAGGTATCACTGACAGGATACGAATGTAAGGTATCGAAAAGTTACTGTATCGTTGTTAGGCAATGTCTTTTCTAATCTAAATATACTATTACGCATTTTTATGTTTTGTTTTGATAATAATGTTTGTCCTGAAGTTTGGCGGCACTGTTACAACCCTGAATGTTAAAATTACTCTTAATGTAGAAACAATTACGTTAAGGGGGTACGTGTTAACTCTAAATGTTAAAAACTTTTCCATTAAGAGTAACACCCCGCGACCCTTAATGTAAAAAATAAATATAATTTTACATTAAGGGTTATTATCGTACATATCGCCCCTAATTGTAAAAGATTCTTATTAACAAAGTTTGATTTGCAATTTAGGGTACTTTTTGCTATTTTCAAATTTCTCATTGTTTTGCTTGGTTTCTTGTAATTATTCGTAATAAGCGACAGCGTGAGAAACTGACTTTGCTCAGATCTGAGAACAAGAGGGGCTATTATAAGAACGGCAGGTTTGTTATTTAGGACATGCCATCTACTACTCTGGAAGTCGAAGAGCATCAAGTGTCGGCTCCAGTCGCAGATCGCGACTCAAGTGGAACAGCGTCAGCTGTGGATCAGAAGCGGGTGCTGCGGTCAAGGTCGAAGGTAAACTCAGCCTCAGGGAAATAAAAGAGTGCATGCTTAGTCCCTTTTTGTTTCAGTTTATTTTAATAAACTGATTGGTTGAAGTTTAGAAATTGTCCGATTTCGTATATTGAAATTTCCCCCGCAATTGGGATCCATGATATGCATCGACCAAGTCAGCGAACCTGACCACCCGATCTCATTAGTCGCATTTTACGACAAGCAATGATATGCACTCTGACGTAAACAAGTTTACATGTTAAACATGCTTAAATAAGAAACATGTTTACATTTTTGGGATGTTGTGTTTAAGTGGTGTTTATTTTGTGAGACGATAGCGCATTCTGTGTGTTTAGACCCCAGACCAAATGTTATTCCGTTTAAGATTTAAACACGTTTCTAAGCATATTTAGATCAAAACATGGCTTGTATGTGTTTACGGTCTAAACACAGATTTGTAGTGTATAACGGATGGCTATGTTTCTGTTACAACATATTATTCCAGGAAGAACCACCAGCTGAACACCAGTATGCCAGGAAAAGAACCAGGGAGCGACTGTCAAAGACACCAAAACTGGACTGTGGCGCAAAACTGCGTGTCAGAGAGACGCTGTGCTTTCCATATGAAAAGGTGATACTGCAATCCACATGTTGGATTGTAAAGAATAACAAAGTCGGTTCATGAATATTTCAGGTGCATATATTTTTCCACTAGGTCCTGAAAAATGATTTGTATCCGAACCTAGAAACAATTGGATAGCATTCGATTTAGGTATCTCGTCACACAAACGTATGACAGTTATAGACATATGTTATCAATTAGAGAATGATAAAATCATGAGCGACTTATGATATGGCAGAATCGTCAAAATGTTATATATATTTGGAGAAAATTACAACAGGGGATTCGGATGAAATGAAATAAAATAAATAAAGCTGGATACGGCGGTGTTATTTGTACTGTAAAGGTAACACTTTCCAGCTGATACAGTAAACAGCAAAATGCTTATTATAACATTGAATAAAAGCTAGAAAATCATCTCAATACATTTTAGCAAATTCTACTAAAATTGTTACTTCATTGTTTTTGCTTGGTTTCTTGTAATTATTCGTAATAAGCGACAGGGGCTATTATAAGAACGGCAGGTTTGTTATTTAGGACATGCCATCTACTACTCTGGAAGTCGAAGAGCATCAAGTGTCAGCTCCAGTCGCAGATCGCGACTCAAGTGGAACAGCGTCAGCTGTGGATCAGAAGCGGGTGCTGCGGTCAAGGTCGAAGGTCAATTTAGCCTCAGGGAAATAAAAAGGTGTATGCTTAGTCCCTTTTTGTTTCAGTTTTTTTTATAAACTGATTGGTTGAAATTTAGAAATTGTCCGATTTCGTTCAAATTTCGTATATTGACATGTTATGAGACTCCGTATTGAGGTCTCTGATTGCTCCTTTAAATACTCTACCCTATTTCGTATAATCTTTAAAAAACGGAGGTTGCGATTATGTCGTCCAATATGATTGCAGAGGGACGTTTGGATACTCATGTTAACATTATCATCCATCTGCGGTTTTTAATTCCAGATAGAAAAGTTCTAGTTAGTTTAATTTTTATCCACACATGCAAGATGTCCGAAAGGCTTATGTGACGTATTGCCATCCGTCTTCGTACGGAGTGCGTCATCCGTCATGTGAAATCTATTCACAATCCAATAAGATTTATTCATTAAATATGTCGAAAGATAGCATTTACAGCTCACTTGGTACGAAGTTCCTCGGTGAACTTATGTCAGCTCCCTCAGAAGATCCAATGGTCGGTACCTAACTGACATGAAATACTCTACAGATCGTATTTTATAAAGCCATCTAGACAAAGTAACGATCAATTAAATCTGCGAAGTTTCATGAATGTTCGATAAGTATTATTTCATAGTGATAACCCTTAATGTAAAAAATATTATCTGTCACTTCAACCCTTAATGTAAAACTTTTTACATTTAAGAGTTGTAACAAGAGTGAACCCACAGCCCTTAATGTAAAATATTTAATTTACATTAAGGGTTGTAACACGATACAGTTTAATCTATACAATAAAAGAATCAGATACTGATCCTCATGATCCGTTAGGTTATCGTGGAATTTCTTTGTTATCAATACCTTGCAAAATTTACGCTGATATTTTGAATACACGCTTTTTCTAAATGGCTAGAATCTAATCATTTATTAGCAGAGGAACAAAACGGCTTTCGGCGTAAGAGAAGTACAACGGATGATATTTACACCCTCTTTTCTATTTTAAAAAAAAATATCCGTGAATTACCAAACGTGTGTGTTATATCGATGCAATGAAAGTTTACAATTAAGTGAATCGCGATTCTCTTTGCTACAAGCTATTCAAATTGGGAGTAAACGGGAAGGTCTTTTGGGGGTTAAATCATTATATGAAAATAATCGCTCGCAGGTTTTTGTGAAATGGCAAAATGACAGACAGTTTCGCTGTACTTAGTGCTGTGAAACAGGGCTGCGTTTTGTTGACGACACTATTTTCGGTTTTCATTAATGACTTGGTACAAGAGGTAATGTGGTGTAGATACTTTTAACACCATGATAAGTCTTTTACTGTATGCCGATGATGTTGCTCTATTAGTAACGGATGAAATGTCACTCCAGTTGATGTTTAACTGTATTGCCAGCTGGTGTAAGAAATGGCGATCAAAAGTAAAAAACAAATATTTTTCATTACCGTAATCCCTCCTCTGTTCTTATGAAGAAAGTAGGCTCACTAAATTAGTACAAAGGTGGCCATTTTAATTCCCAAAGTCTTGGGACTGCACAGTTATAAACATGTTTAATGTTTTATAGTTACCGCTTTCATGACTGTATAGATCATGTTTTACCCTTTTTTGTTTTGAATACGTATAGACTTAATCTGCATTGATAAGGAAACATGGCTCAGAAAGCTCTGGGGGCAAATTAATGGTAATAAGTTACGGACAAACCGACTGTTTAAGTCTACACTGAGCTTTTCACACTATGTTTGTAATATTACTCTGACAGAACATAACCTAGCATTTTTGCAAAATTTGGATGTGATACACACATTTCAGATCTTAGTCACCTACAGACCGAATGAAATGTCTAATACAGTGCGAGGATTTGTCAACCCCTGTAGCCGCACTGATTAACAATATGTTTAAACGTAGACTCTATAATAAATAATATTCACTATTGCTTTTTGTGTAGCTAGGACTCCCTGCATTTACTCTCTCTTTTAACACAGGGTATTTGTATTATTTTAGCACTGTAAGTGGTTTTATTATTACATTGTATTGACCGTTTGACGGTAACTGGTGTCTAACTGGCCCTAGCTGACCGAACGTCGTATCAGAGTGTGATACGTTTTTATGATTGTTTTAAAATGTATAAACGCTAGACACCTGAATAAAATATTTTTCTCTCTTTCTCTCGTAAAAGTAAATGTCAATCTACTCATGTTAGTCGCTCTCATGTATTATAATTGTTGTTACTAGTAATCCTTCACCTACCATATATGCACCATGTTCATTAGTCAGTGTTGCTTGACAACGGTATAAGAATCTATACCGAAACGTCGTTTTTACAGTATAATAAAGAGGTTGTATCCATGCATAAAACATTTTTGTCTACTTTTTCACCCGTCAACTTCTAAGAAATGCGTATCAAACATGAACTATTTCTTTTGCGATGTGCGATCGATGTACATTTAAGTTTCTTAATGTCCTTAAAAGTAACCTTCATTTTTTGCATGGTTATTTTATATCAACGTTCAGCAGTCCGCAGTATTTATGTAGGTAAACACATTCAACATTAGCTTTCCATATTTCTCTGTATGAAGAATTGTTTTGTCCCATTCACGTCTAAGTAAGGTTACAGCATACTTATGCACATGAAACCTATAAGCGATTCCAGGTAGTTTGGGCCTCCCCTTACAACTCTTCATTTTTGGATGTTTCGCGATCGACCGTTTATTATAGACAATAATACTTTGCAAGAGAGCGGTGGCACAAACAGGGTTGACAAAATTGTGATAAACAAAGAACATGAAATCGTGGAAACTGGTGAAACGCGACCCAGAAAACTTGGAGCAAGGGTAGAGGAATTTATGAAGGAGTTTATGCCGTCAGAACCAAATTCAACGAATCGGCAGTTCAGTCCAACCAAGAAGGATTTAAACCTCATTCACACAGCTGAACGAAACAACAGGTTATGTCGTTAACTGCTGCGTAAACATTAATGTAAATATGACTGCAGAGGTTTCTAGATTAGTATATGAGAAGTTGACTGACGATTTACCCAATGTGGTTTGATATCAACGAGAAATTGTTCACCAATATTTAATTTTAACAGTACATTGGAGACAGTTGTAGAACATGACCAACAGCTGTAGGAGTACCATTTGTTCATCTCACCGTAGTGTTTTATAATTAAACCATATTTTTTCAATACTACGATATGAATGATCACATAACCTCTACTCTACTACATGAATGACGATTCAACAAACATGCACGTTCGCTCAACAAATGTTTCAATTCAAATTCATGTGCTGTTTTGCATTTTAAACAAATAAGGATTAAAACTGTTTATAATACATGGAACTTGTGATGTCAGCGATAAACAATATTCACCACTCACTCGTGTATTCATATGGGGCAGTTGTGGTGAGGTAGAATGGTTGAAGCGTTGGCTTGTCACACAAAAATCCCGCCTCGGTTGTGAGGCTTCCTCACATCTGATTTATGCCAATGTAGGGTGTCACTTCATGCTAGAATAATGATCACTTACTCCTACTCATTTCGCCAGGGGTGCTCCCATCCTTGTTTAGTAATAAAACTGTCAGCATCTTATCAGCAGTTACGAGCTCATGGTCATCAGACATGCCGATGTCCACTCCCCATGGCACAAGCCTCTTACTATAAACAAACAGCCGCAAGGGGCTGATTAGCCCTGCTCCACGTCTGTACTGAATGATACATCCATGGATGTATAGTCATTTTATCTTTATGACAGTGAAGATAAGCTAACAGTACACCGATCTTTTATTGGGACAACTGGTTCTATTCATTTCTATAATCTAAGAATTATTCCCCATGAATGGAATAATCGTTATGAGTGAGTGAATTGGGTTTAACGCTGCTTTAGGTATAACAGTATTCGAGTTATATCACGGTGTGTCAGCTTAATGTGGGAGGAAAGCCCGAAGTGATGGAGGTCTCAGATGTTTACCACTTCGGTGAAATCCAGAGCAAGGATATGGTGCTGACAAAACTAAAAACATAATCGGGGCGAACCGGACTCGAACCTACAATCATAGGTTTATGGTGTGCCCAAGGGAGGCAACGCAGAACTGCGAATCACGGCGCCTTAGACGACTGGGCCACTTGTGCCCCCAATATTCGTTATGTTAAAATTGAAGACATACAAAACATATAAAGTCATGTCACATGTGACCCACATATGATAACGTGGATAGATGCACCTTTTTTTAATACATTTGATAAAGATTTAACAGTAAACAATATGATTCATCCATCCATTTTTACTTGTAATGCCAAGCATCTACGTTCACTTTCAGCTAAATCATATTGATAATGACCTTTTTGAGAATAATATTAGCTTCCTGATACTATAACCGCAACCAATAATTCCATACACTGACTAACTTGCAAGGAACAACGACCTGATTCACCTCTGGCCACAATGCAAGGAGTACTTTGGTAGAGTAACTATTATAGACCAGTGCTGCAAGCATATTTCTTTCTTCACTGTGTTTGGTATATTGAAGTTTGTTTATCTAAACATTTGTTGTTTCATCCCTTTAAAAATCGAGTCTAGACCAGACAATCCAGTGACTGACATCCTGAGCATCGATTCAGGCAATTGGGATACAATGACATGCAGCCTTTGTTAAATTGACATTTGTAAAGATATTTGTGTATAAAGGTATCTTGCCATTTTAGCGACACCTCGGGTAACACCTTCTTACTTGTCAAACAGTGGCAAAGGACAATGCTTGAAACGTATGGCAGTGCTGTTTTACTGGATGCAACATACAACACTAATAAGTACAACCTATCTCTGTATCAACTGGCAGTACAGACAGATTTGGTTAAGTTCCCAAATATGTGGGCTACAGACCTAACAATCTGTACCCCTGATCTCGCCCAAAGCACTTTGTGGGAAGTGCATGAGAAGCCACTCGGTAGCGGCCACTTTCCAATGCACAGAACCATAGGAAACATATATATCCAAACCCCAAATGAACCCCAAGAACC